TTTTTTGATTTTTCGAGACAGGGTTTCTCCGTAGCTTTTGGTTCCTGTCCTGGAACTAGCTCTTGTAGACCAGGCTGGCCTCGAACTCACAGAGATCCGCCTGCCTCTGCCTCCCGAGTGCTGGGATTAAAGGCTTGCGCCACCACCGCCCGGCTTTCTTTATATCTTTTAATAATTGCATAGACTCTATACCAGTTGAGCATCCCTAACTTAAAAATCTGAAATTCTGCCAAACCCATTGAGGATTTTGGATGTTCAGAGTAGGAACAATCAGCTTGTGTTTGCCAGCCTGGAGGCAGAGATTGTGTCTGACACATACTCTAAAGTGTCTGGTAGTCTGGACACGCATGAGAAGACGAATAAGACTAGGGAGTAACGTAGGGAAGACTTCAACAGTTTATATTGATCTCTTGATTTATTAAGGTTTTATTTTTATACCATAGGAACATAAATATTATACATGTTAATGAAGTCTTATACTCTAGATGAGCAGGCTATGTAGAAGGGTTCCTGGGGAAGATGATTAAGGTTGTAGGCATGAAATATGTCTGAGCCTGGTGTGGTGATACACACCTTTAGCCTAACAGTTTGAGACAAGAAGAAACTAACATCTGGTTAATTTTTCCATTATCCATTTTGTGTATATAAGATGATCACGTTGAATGACTTTTTACCAAATATATCAGTATTTTATAAATAAGTACACAAAAATACACGCTCTACTCAGTTATTAAGAGGCTCACCTCTGCCAAAGAAGAGCTCTTGCATCATAGTCATGAAGGGGCAGTGCAAGCTGCTCTCTCCTTCCGGCCCCTCCTGTCCCACTGGCTGAGTCTCCTTTTGGTCAGTTTAACGTGATTGTAGAGAAGGCAGTGTTATCACTGTCTGTCTGCACGTGCCTGTTAGCTTGTTTATTTTTGTTAACTAATACAGTGTTTATGTCTAGATACAAGAAAGGTGGCTACAGGATAACCTTACACTAAGGAAAAGAAGAGAGGAACTAAAAGAAGTTGAAGAAGAAAGAAAACAACATTTGAAGGAGATGGGACAAATGCAAGTTTTACAAATGAAAAAGTATGTTTCAGTAAATAGTGTTTATTGTTTATTTTTGAGGTCTCCTTAAACAGCCCAGGCTGGTCCCAAACTCATGGTGTTCCTGCCTCTACCACTCAAGGGCTAAAATTACGTGTATGATCACTGTACTCAACACAAAATAGTGTTTTTGTTTCAGTGAAGGTCTTTACTGTTAAGAGTATAAAGAAACCAGGAGCTGGAGAGATGGCTTAGTAGTTAAGAATACTGGCTGCTCTTCCAGGGGACCCAGGTTAGATTCCCAGGACCTACTTATCTACAATGGAGCATCCTCCCATATCCTTTCTCCCAATATTATGCTCTTCTTTTTTCCAAAATTATTTTTTTGAAACCCACACACATACACACAAGAAAATAAAAACAAACAAAAGACCAATAAGTTAAAAAATACCAAACCAAAATGAAACAAAAAACCCACCAAAGCTAGGTGGTGGTGGCACTGATCTTTAATCCCAGTAACCGGGAGGCAGAGGCAGGTGGATTTCTGTGAGTTCTGGGACAGTCTGGTCTACATAAAGAGACCCTATTTCAAAACAACAGCAACAACAGAACACCGTGAAGTTCTTTTGGGTTGGCCAGCTACTCCTGGGCATCAGGCCTGCCCTGGAATATGGTTGATGTCCCCAGTGACACTCCATTGTAGAAAACTGATTCTCCTGTTTTCGGCTGGTATTTATTGCAAATAGCTTCTGGTTAGGAGTGGAACTTGGTGTCCATTTAATTTTCTCAGGGCTAGGACCTCATCTCAACTCAGATTTTCTTTTTAATTTATTTATTTTATGAGTATTTAGCCCACATGTATGTATGTGTGCCACATTCATATAGTATGTGTAGAGGCGAATAGATGGTGTTGGATTCCCTGGAACTGGTGTTAGGTGATTGCGAGCCACTATGTGGAATCCTGGGAGTTAAACCAGGATTCTCTGGAAAAGCAGCCAGTGCTCTGAACTGCTGAGCCATCTCTCCAGCCCAAGATAGATTTTTTTTTAATACTTTTGTGATTAAATTTAGCAATTTTTAAAGACAGGTTCTCACTGCCTGTCCCCTGACTGTCCTGGAACTCACTCTATGGACCTGACAGGCCTTGAATTCACAGAGATCCACCTACTTTTACCTCCCATGCGTGAGATTAAAGGTGTACACCACCATACCTGGCTGAACATACTTCAGACTGCATAGTTTATCTATTCCTTAACAAATCTTCCATACTAGGAAGTGGCAGAACCATCAACCGCGTAGATAAACTATGTAATGATGTCCATAGACTTGTGAGCAATATCTAGCACAGAACATGTGCTTAACAAGTAAATGAAGAAATTTAAGGCATATATTAAAGTCTGTATAATCTACCAGGGTACTAGAAAATTTTGAGTACTTTTTTTGAGTCAGAATTGTGATTTTTATACTTTTGCAACAGAAACAATTTTTAATGCATTTTACTGTAGAAAATGACTAGTTTATTGCAGATAAAATTGTACTGTGCCTTTACACTTTGACATTTGTAGGTAAAACTGATTGAAACCTGTTACCAGTAACTTCTCATTGTTGGCAGTTGTTGCCTCCTCAGTTCTTTCTAATGCAGAAGTGTGTGATTTTGTTGCGTGAATCCCCAGTAGTGCTTTACATTGTCAGCATCTAAAACCCAGGGGCTGTTAGGATGCTCACATGTTATGAGGATTCTTTATTTAGCACATAAAAATTAACTTCTTCAGAAACCTAAATACTGCAGAAGTTTGAAAGGAAAAGAACTAGCTCAAAAAAGCCTTAGGAAGCCCGGAGCCTCTGCTGTGTGCTCGTCATCGAGAATGACACCTGTCTTAGGGACTTTCTGCTGAGGTTGCCAAAAGCTGAACAGTGGTTCTCACTAATCATTTCCCCTTTTCTAGTGAGCATCAGAAGTTGGAAGAGAACATAGACACTATAAAACGAAACCACAGTTTGGCATTGGGGCGGCAGAAGGGCTATGAAGAAGAAATTCTTCACTTTAAGAAGGAGCTCCGAGAACCTCAGTTTCGGGATGCCGAGGAGAAGTATAGAGAAATGATGATTGTCATGAGAACCACAGAGCTGGTGAACAAGGACCTGGACATCTACTACAAGACTCTCGACCAGTAAGTCCTCGGTGCTTGTGCTCACTGCAGTGATAGCAGGTGGCGCACTGTGGTCGTCTTTTTTCCTGTTTTTGCCTTTTCAGTATATGACATTTCATATATGCCATGGAATGAAAAATACTTCAGCATCCTCCCCTAGCCAGTCCAAGAACTTCGCTGTTTACTACTGACTGGCATCCACTTAGATGCTCTCCCATTTTAGTCGTCAGCATCTCCTCCCTATCTCAGGAACAAAGATGTTTGCTTTCTCTGCTCTCACAAACCAGGTTTAATACACGTGTATTGTGTTCAAGCTTTTGAAAGTGGCATCCCATATCAGGTACTCTTCCAGGAGTTGCTGTTTTGGTTTTGTCCATTTTGATATGGCTGTAGCTCATCCATGCTCTCATGTACAGAATCCTGCCATGAATCACTGCTGTGCCCATCTCCCAAACTCTATGACATTTTCTGACAAAGAGATAGACTAACGCTATATATGTGGCAGTGAGTTGTAGGATATGCTTGATTTTTACAGAATGCTGTGTTTCTTTTTTATGGTTTTACTAGCCCAATATGGTGGCTCAGTTGCCTATAATCCCAGTAGGTAACAGGCTGTAGCAAGTGAATTTATGAGTTTAATGTAGTGAGTTTAAAATGAGAAACAGTTGTGACCTTTGTGGACAGTTCTCTCATTTATTTTTTATTATTTATTAATTTTTTTAAGAATAGAGTATTTTGGGGCCGGGCGGTGGTGGCTCACACTTTTAATCTCAGCACTCGGGAGGCAGAGGCAGGCAGATCTCTGAGTTTGAGGCCAACCTGGTCTACAAGAGCTAGTTCCAGGACAGGTCCCAAAGCTACAAAGAAGCCCTGTCTCGAAAAACAAAACAAAAACAAAAAAGAATAGAGTATTTTTGTAGCCGGGACTTTAATCCCAACATTCAGTAGGCTAAGGTAGATGGATCTCTGAGTTTGAGGCCAGCCTGGCCTACAAAGTGAGTTTCGGGACAGCCAGGACTACACAGAGAAACCGTTTCTACCTTAACTCCCATCCCCCTCAATAAAACAAAAAGTATTTAAAATTGTTTTTGGTTTTGGTTTTTCAAGACAGAGTTAATCATGCATATTAATGGGGTCAGTATGATAATTTCCACATATGTATATGACATGCATGGGTTAGATCTCCTCTAGTTATGAGTGTTCTAGTTTCAGGATTTAGTGGGGAGCTGATCTCTCATTCCTGACTAGCCCGGAACTTTGATATGTAGACCAGGCTGTCCTCAAATTCGGAGATCTGCCTACCTCTCTGCCTTCCAAGGTCTGGGATTAAATGCATGCGCTACCACACTCAACTTCTTCAGGACACTTCGACTTTCTACCGCTATCACCTGGGAGTGAGAAAGCTGGCTAGTATCGTCAGTCTATCTCTTGGTGTGTTTGGGGGTTTTATTTTTTTTATTTTTTTTTTAAATATTTATTTATTTATTTATTTATTTATTATGTATACAATATTCTGTCTGTGGTGCAGGCCAGAAGAGGGCACCAGACCCCTTTACAGATGGTTGTGAGCCACCATGTGGTTGCTGGGAATTGAACTCAGGACCTTTGGAAGAGCAGGCAATGCTCTTAACCTCTGAGCCATCTCTCCGGCCCCTGGGGGTTTTATTTTTAAACATAAGTATTTCTGTTGTATATTTATAAGAGGGGTGTGTGTGTGTGTGTACAGGAGCCATAGCACCTCTGTGGAGGTCAGAGAACAACTTTTTGGAGTGGTTCTCGCCTATCTTTGCACAGGTTCCTCTGACTGAGTGCAGGTCGTCAGGCTTGTGCAGGAAGTGTGTGATCCACTGAGCTGTCTTGCTAGCCCTATCTTTGGAGGGGGCGTTGTTTTTGGTTTTGCTTGTTCTAAGGCTGACCTTAGACTAACAGAATTGACTGCTAGGATTAAAGGTGTCTTTTGGAGAATCTTCAAACTGATCTCCTGCATCCTTGTCAGCACTTGTTTTATGGGAGTCATTCTAACTGGAGTGAGCTGGTCTCTCACACGTGGACCGTGTGTGTTCTAACCGGAGTGAGCCGGTCTGTCACAATGTGGACCGTGTGTGTTTCACTAATGGCAAATGATAGCAGTGTGTTTTCATGTCTGCTGATCATTTGTATTTTGAGAGGTACGTATGTAGCTCATTTGCCCCTTCTTTAGTTTATTGAATCACTCATTTTGTTGTTGTTGTTTGTTTGAGACAGGGTTTTTCTGTGCAGCCCTGACTATTCTGGAATTCAGTATGCAAATTCAGGATGACCTTGAACTCCGAACTCTGCCCTCCTCCTCCTCCTCCTCCTCTTGAGTGCTGGGGTTAAAGCTGTGTGTCCCCACCACTCAGCAGACTACTCATTTTTAAGTTCCGCATATGTTCTGGATGTTTACCCTGCCGGGTGAATGGATAACATCATTTTTTCCCATTCTGTAGACTCTTTATTGATTCTTTCCTTTGCTGGGCAGAAGCTTTATGATTTGATGTAATTTTTGTCTACTTTTGTTTTTGTTCTTAGTACTTTTAGTATCTTGTCCCAAAAAACAAACCCTTGCCTTTTGCAGAGTTGTAAAGCAATGCTCCTTGAGCTTCCTTCTGCAGTCTGAGTTTCAGGTGTTAAATGTTTTCTGTTGTTGATTATGGTATGTAGGAAGAGACAGGTCTAGTTCGTACTCTGCATCTAGATTCCCAGCTTTCCCTGTCCTTTGCCCACTGTCAGTGTTAGCACCGTCATTGAAGACCAGCTAGCAGTAGAGACATGTGTATTACATCCATTTTACTGATCTGGAATCTATCTCTCTGTCACTTCTGTGCTATTCAGATTGCTGTAGCTTTTAGACTATCCTCTGTTGTCCTTTTTGTTCAAGATTGCTTTGACTACTTGGGTTTTGTCTGCTTGATTCCTCGTTTTATAGGTCCATATTACTTGAGGACGTTTTCCCTAGTTATCTGAAGGATGTCTTTGATACTTTGCTATGAATTGCACTAAATCTGTGTGTCAGTTGGAAAAGCAAGGGGACAGACAATTCAACAATACTTATGTCTAGTCTATGAATATGAACATGGGCTGTCTTTCTACTCTTGTGTTCTCTTTGAGTTCTGTTGTTGTTATTTATAGTGTTTCATAGTGATCATTCTCCTCTTTATTTAAAAATATTCCCAGGTTTTTATAAGTGAGGTTGTTTTCATATAATTTGTAGTTAATATATGAAAAACTGATATGTTGATACTTTTGATGATACTCTGTGATCTTGTCAACCTGACTGCATTTAGAAGCATCTTGGAATCTTGGAGCCTCATGTGTGGTGGCTCATGCCTTTAATCACAGATTTTGGAGGCGGTCACATCTCTGTGAGTTTGAGGCAGCCAGGTATATATAGACTATCTTTAAAAAAAAAAAAAGGCTATCTTAGTTCAGTCCCCACAGTCTTCATGGTTGAAGGGTAGCACCAACTCCTGTAAGTTATCCTCTGTCCTCCACATACTCTGTGGCATAGGCAGGCAAGCAAGCTAGCATGTGTACATGTACATGTGTATACACACACACACACACACACACACACACACACACACACACACACAAAAACAAGAATACAAACACAAATACAAAAGAAGCACCTAGATTGGTAAAGCACACCAGTGTGTCTGTGAGGGTATTTCGACAGGCAGCTAGATATCAAGGCTCTATTCTAATAGACATTCGTTTAATCCATTTAAAATTTGAAGCCAGAGATAATAGTGCACTCTATTAATCCCAGTACTTAAGAGGTGGAGGCAGGAGGATCAGCTCCAGCCACATAGTGACTTAAGGCTACCCTAAGCTTCAAGAGACATTGACTCAAGAATGTTTGGGGTAAGTTGTTGGGAAGTGGTAGAACTCAAGGCCTTCTTGAAGGAAGTGGGTCACTAAGAGCCTGCCTTGGAAGACAGTGTCTGAGCCTGGCCTTTTTTCATTACTTTTCTTTGCTGCCTGACTACCATGAAGTGAATTAGCTTCTTCATGCCTTGCCTCTGTGTTTCTGCCTTGCCACGGACTTGACAAACCATGGAGTCAGCTGACCATGGAGTGAAACTGGGCCAAATAATCACCTCTCCCTTGAGTTTTTTTATCTCAGGGATTTGTTCACAACAGAAACTTACTAAACAATCTTGTCTGCCACATCTCTAATTAGAATCTAATTGAGGGGGCTGGTGAGATGGTTCAGAGAATACGAGCAGTGGCTGCTCTTCCAAAGGTCCTGAGTTCAATTCCCAGCAACCACATGGTGACTCATAACTATCTGTAATGAGATCTGGTGCCCTCTTCTGGCCCACAGGGATATATGCAGGCAGAATATTGGATATATAATAAATAAATAAATCTTTTAAAAAAATAATCTAATTAAGGTTTTGAAACAGACCAACTATTAGAGAGCCCTTGCCCATTGTTCATTTGTCTGCTTCTGAGTAATTGTCCTCCCTGCTACTTCCTGTATGCCTTTGGAGGGTGTTGTGTTCTTCTGCTTGTTTTGTTTAGTTCTTTAACAACAGGTGCTGTGGATCTAGTAGCCCTCGCACCAACTTCCGTTGTGCAGTAAGAGAAGGATTCTGCTGGCAAGGGTGTTGAAATGGTTCAGGACAGATTGTCAATAAGAAGCTACCATGTGGGTTACAGTCAAAGATACCATGGAAAATAAAACTGGGGATGACTTAGCAGGGTAGACATTCCCTGAAAGTCGACAAATTTGGTCTTCACCAGGCCTGCCAAACCTATAACGTGTAGCTAAAAGTACTGTCTCTGGAAAAAGAATTTTAACCCTGGGCTGGAGAGATGGCTCAGAGGTTAAGAGCATGGACTGCTCTTCCGTAGGTCCTGAGTTCAATTCCCAGCAACCACATGGTGGCTCACAACCATCTGTAATCAGGTCTGGCGCCCTCTTCTGGCCTTCAGGCATACAGACAGAATATTGTATACATAATAAATAAATAAATCTTTTAAAAAAAAAAAGA